TTTTTCTTTTGTAGAGAAATGAGAAATGGTGGCTGTTTAATTTACTTTTGCAATGACGTGTTGGTCAAAACGTTAAATGATTCTGATAGCTCTAATTTTGATACTATGTTTTTTGTTGCAACCTTACCTGCTACTTGGAATTTTTTTAACCATTTTATCATATAGAACGGAATCACATCTAGACATATTTGAAACATACATGGAACTTTTATCTGATTCTATATTAACTGTCAGTTCTCTGCGATCTCTTTCTGGTGTCTTACTGTTAGGCAATTTTAATGCGCATTGCTCAAAATGGAGTAGTGAGAAACCCTATACAGCTGAAGCTAAAATTCTTAAGTACTGGACTTAACTAAGTCTAGACTTAAGTCTTCGTTTTTTCTTAACTAAGTGTAGACTTAATTTTAAGTGTTTCACAAAAATTCTTATGTCATAGACTTAAGTCTCTGTTTAACTCCACGTCTTATCTAAGTTTGAGACAGACTTAAGTTGACGAACCCAAAGTGTTGCACTATGTCAAACTTAAGTTCGATTTAAATTTAAGTACGCAACTTAGTCGCAAGGTCTTAAATTACGTCCATGCACTTAACTGGTGCATATATATATTGCAATTTAGCGCTTTTTTCAAAAAAGAATAGAGTTCGTGATAGTTCAGTTATATGGCATGAGCTTGTGAAAAATATGGGGAAAAGAGAGAAAAAGGAAGATTAAGAGAAAATCCGTGAAAACATCGAGAATGCTGTAAAAAGACGATAAAACCTTCAAAATTTTGTTTTTAAATACGATTTTCAGATACTCCTTCCATACCTATAAATCCAATTTTCTAGAACTTCTAAGGTCTAAGAACACTTTTTAGCATATATTGTAGTTTATTCTCTACAAAATGCACTATAGTACATTGAAACACATCCCCATTCACTCAGAAAACCGAAAAACGAGTCGGAAGCATCAGGATATACTTAGTTTTGTCCACTGAATATGATTATATCATCGCAAATATTGAGAAACCATGTTTTGGTTTAAGGGTTTTCCAGAAACTTTTGCGGAAATCCATAGGGTTTTGTAAGTTTTTTTGTACATTTCTTATAAATAAAATATCAAATAGTCTAAGTACTGTACATACTGATGCATCCAACTCGTTCTTCGGTTAACATTCTTTGATCTATTGATGATCGAACATGACCTTATAAAAATTAAAATGGTTTTCATTGATTTATAACATTTCAAAGTGCAGAAAAAGCTAATAGAGAACGGCTTTATGTTCCTATTCATCAAACTAGTTAAAATAATTTTAAAAATGAAAGAAGAGGTTTAGCAAAAAGATGGTGAAAAACCGTGAACATAATTTCCATCTACTATTTATAGTCCAATCTATAGGTTCGATCCAACCATTTCAGATTTAGCCGCGTATTGGGTTGCTACATGTGTTTTGGTAGAAGTGTGCCATTTGATCTCCCCTATGGCTTCACAAATCCGGTGTTCCAAATCTCCTTGAAACAAGGTGGCTCCTTCGAACTGCAATACTTGTCAAAAAGACTTTTGCATAATCCATTTTCATGAGGACCTACGTGTCCACCAGTTCTCCCCTATGTTGCCAGCACAGTCGCCAGTATCGGTGCCACCTCCATCGCAAATAACTGCTACAGGGATTACTGCTGAGCAGATTTGGAGAGCTGCTTCAATACTTTGCAACAGCCACCTTTGGAGTGCTGAAGCTCGTCAGGGCGCGTATTGTGGAGCCCTACGTGGGTGTGGCCAACCGTTCAGCTATGATATGACACTGGCAGATACAGTCACACAATTAGAAACGTTTATCAATAATCACCCTGCATTGAAAGCTGCTATAGAAGCTTATGACAATTTCATGGAAACTCTCTCTCTTAAGCTTTCGGTAGATCAAGTCAGAGCCCTTTATACTACATAATGGAAGAGAGAGGAACAGTATCCAAAGGTTATGCCTTTTCATACTCAGAAGAGACACCTTGTGATTCGATTCCAGCGATAGATCGTTAGCTACCTTATTAATGGTCATTCATCGTTTTCTTTTGGCTGTCTGTAGCAAATGAAAACAAAACTTTTTGTTATGTTGAATTTTTCTGTTGAACAAGTCACATTTTTACTTTAGTGTTATTGTAAGTGGAAAGAAAAAGTATAAAGTAAAAATGTCTTGAGAGAGAGAGAGCGACATGCAACATTCTCTTCACACTCACTCTCATGTACAGTGTTCTATTATACAAGTCACATTTTTACTTTACTATTATTGTAAGTGAAAAGAAAAAACTCAAGTATAACTAAACATGTCTTAGTATAAACAAGGTTGAATAAAAACAAGGTTTTTGTCTAAATAAATGAGCTGCAGCTCTTCTCAGTGAGTAAAATATGAAGTAGAAAACGCAGAGTTACATCTTTTTAAACGCTGCTTAGGATTTAAAGTGAGCCTGAATGTCTCTAATGAATGGCTAGTCTGTCACCTATAGATTGCATTGATAGCAAAACAATGTGACATGAGAAGAAAATATACGTACATTAAAAACGTTATCACACAGGCAGTTTATATATGTCATGCCTTTACCCGCGTTCATGGAGATCAACGAAATCAACAAAGAAGTAGTGACATATCGAGAAAAACTGTGTACATCAAATCCAAATTTCATAGTGCACATCGAAATTATACTTCAAAATTTGGCTTATCTTGAGTGTATGACCAAGAAGTAAGCCGGCCAGAAGTTCCGCCGACCCATTACTGCAAGTATAGAAACAGAAACATAAGAACCGTAAATGCAATAAGTTACCGTGAAAACAATCTTTCATCACTCAGATTTTCCTTCGTAGTAAGGCGACATTTGTCTTCTATATTAATACAGTATAATCAAGATATCGTCGCCAATTCAACAAACTGTAGCTCTCTTCTGTTGTGACTGCCAGTCACAGAGTTCTAAATACTATCATATGACTTTCATCTTTGCTAGCAATTCATTGTCGTGTGTAAACATGATTTACAATAAATCTTTCGATATTCAGGTTTAACCGTGAGAGCTAATTAGCTCAGCAAGTGTTATTAAGTCATGGAAGTCATTTTATCATAGAAAATGTGACAGATTTTGATTTTAATCCGGAACATATCATATATTTGTGTTTAGGATGAATATAATTTTTTAATTGATAATACTTAATTTAATGATCAGTCGCTATAACAAAAGCACATCTAAAGGTACATTTAGCGATCTAAAAAGTTGCAATTTATTAATGCCTCATCAGCGCAAAATCTACATAAAAAGATGGAATAGTCAACTTTTAAAAATTTCGGCTGCAAGAAAAAGAATCAGCAGAGAGTATCATACGATTTCAGTAAAAAGCATCAAAGACACCTTGAGACCATAGCCGATTAGTCGCCATAAACAAAAGCACATCTCAGGGTAACATCTAGCAACCTAAAAGCTTTTAGTTCAGTTTAAATGATACTGCACAGTTATGTAACAAATGGTTATCAGCACTAGCTCCTGAGCATGCAGCTGGGTATTTTGAACATGCAGAACAATATGAAGAAATATTTAAACGAGATAAAATAGCTGAAGAATTGGAAAGTGATTTGATTGATAGTGATGATGAGAATGGACAGAACTAGTTAGTGACGAGGATTAAATGCTAATTGAACTGCTTTAACTTTTGCTAAAAGCTTCGGGAAAAACCGTGGTCTCCCGTGGGTTAAGCAAAAGGGAAGTTTTTGCTTAGATTCAGTTTTATAGGAAATGCTTTGGAGTATCAATCTATGAAGGAAAATGGTAGGTATTATGCCAGTTTCCGGAGATCCGAGACGGTTTTCCAAAGACCCTTTGAAAAGTTGAGTTTTAAACATTTTAAAAACAACTTTTGCTTGTGAAAAGTTAGCTATAACTCTCTACTTGCGATTGCTGGAAATCGCAATTCTGTAGCTCTTATCGTTGTCCAGTTATTAAAGGACAACCATCTACTTTGTTTTTTGACGACTATAATAGTATATTGTAGTATTAATAAACCCGCTTGAGGATATTTGAAGAAGAAAATTGTTGTTACAGTTGTAACTGATCGCCAGCCATTCGTCATATGCAAAAGCAACTATCTTCCACAATCCATCAGTGGCTGGCATAATGACTGAAGTAACATACTCCATAGTTGTAACATGAAAAATATCCAAACTCCACTTTGTCCTCGCTTCATCCGTCGTGAGCAGAGCGATTTTCGTTTGATCACGGTTAATCATACCTTGTCCAATTTTAAAATCATAAAAAAATTCTTTATAACCGGTGCTACTACAGAACGGCATGGAGATTCGAGACATTTTGCTAATCACAATTCATCTGATTATGATTTTATAATTGAACAAGGTATGATTTAGTCAGAAGACGAATTCAATCCATTACCAAATATGAATCATTTATTCGTACATGTTAATGAGGGGCCCCCCTTCGGTTTTTTCCATCAGTTTGTAGAGGACACTTTGGAGTATATGTGTCAACAGAGCTTTCGGTTCACGGATTTGTGGTTTTGGATTAGAAACATTTTATGTTTTTTTCGATTTTCTGCTCTATTTTTAAAATTTCAATAAAAACTTCAGATTTTGATATGAAGAGTTGATTCTAGCGTAGTTCGATAGAGAACATTAACTTGTCTAAGGGGAAGCACTTATCATCATTCTCGAATGAAGTTTGACGCCGAAATTTAACGTTCACCTTCATGAGGAAGTTTCAGAGCTAAACGTATTTTTCACCTCACCTTACGGGGCTACTTTTGTTAGAAGCTAGCAGTTTGAATCAAAACCCTGGGTACAAAAGTCGTTCAGAGTCGAATTCTGCAGTCTCTAACAAGAGCTGTTTTTGGTCCTTTTTTAGTTTTTAAACAGAAAAATATGAAATACAAAAACTTTAAAAACCGTAAAATTTAATTTAAAAATCAAAAAAGGACAACTTTGAAAAAGCCTCTCGTTATGGATTGCAGAATACGATTCTGAACAAGTTTTGTGTTGCAACAATTTTGCGGACACCAGTGAGAAAAGAAAAATGAATTTGACTTCAATACGAAGTTCGAAAACACTGAGACAAAAGAAGTAAGTTGTCTTTCTTCATTTTAATGAAAACCGCGCCGATAGA